AATCAGCTCCATAAATGGAGTCTTTCTGCCAAAGATCTTTCTGATACTCCAATGAAAAGTACAGGTATTGGCTGAAAAACTACAAGCTTATTGGGAAATGTCAGCTTCATTGCAAAACGTCCTTTGTAAAACAGTGTCAAACTGCTGCGAAAACCAAAGGTTCAAGTAGAGCAACACTGAACATCACAAGGTGTTCAACTTCCAAAGTGAAGTCAGTGGAACAAACTGGTTTCTGTGAATGTATTGTAAAATTTCGTTGGAAGCGGGTTTCCCTAGTATTACTTTGCTTGGAAAGTGCAGTGCATTCTTAGGCCCAATACTCAACTTGAAGCTACAACAAAGATCTTTAGGAATGAAAATCAGCTCCATGAGTGGAGCCTTTCTGCCAAAGTTCTTTATGATACTCTGAGGAAAGAACAGAGTTTGGCTGAAAAATGGCATGCTTATCTGGGAAAAGTAAGCTTCATTTCAAAACGTCCAATGTAAAGCAGTATCAAACTGCTTCGGAAACAAAATGTGCAAGTACAGCCACATTGAACATCACAAGGTGTTCAACTTCCAAAGTTAAGTACCTGGAAAAAAGCGGTTTCTGTGTGTACTGTAAAATTTCATTGGAAGCAGGTTTCCCTGTTATTACTTTGCTTGGAAAGTGTAGTGAATTCTTAGACCCAAGACTCAACTTGCAGCTACAACAAACAGATGTAGGTCTGAATATCAGCTCCATGAGTGGAGTCTTTCTGCCAAAGATCTTTCTGATACTCCAAGAAAAATTCAGGTTATGGCTGAAAAACTACATGCTTATCTGGGAAAAGTAAGTTTCATTTCAAAATGTACATTGTAAAACAGTGTCAAACTGCTTCCAAAACTAAATATTCAAGTAGAGCAATATTGAACATCACAAGGTGTTCATCTTTTATAGTTAAGAAAGTGGAAAAAACTGGTTTCTGTGAGTGTATTGTAAAATTTCTTTGGTAGAGTGTTTCCCTAGTATTACTTTGCTTGGACAGTGCATTGCCTTCTTAGGCCCCACATGAACTAGCAGCTACAACAAAGATCTTTAGGAATGAATATCAGCTCCACGAATGGAGCGTTTTTGCCAAAGTGCTTTGTGATACTCCAAGGAAAGAACAGTTTTTGGCAGAAAAAATACATTCTTGTCTGGGAAAAGAGAGCTTCAATTCAAAATGTACATTGTAAAAGAGTGTCAAACGGTTTCCAAAACGAAATGTTCAAGTACAGCAACACTGAACATCACAAGGTCTTCAACTTCCAAAGTTAAGTAATTGGAACAAACTTGTTTCTGTGAGTGTATTGTTAAATTTTTTTGGAAGGGGGTTTCCCTAGTATTACTTTACTTGGAAAGTGAAGTGCATTCTTAGGTTCAAAACTCAACCTTCAGCTACTACAAACATCGTTAGGTATGAAAATTAACTCCATGACTGGAGTGTTTCTGCCAAAGATCATTCTGATACCCCAAGAAAAGTACAGGTTTTGGCTGAAAAACTACATGCTTATCTCAGAAAAGTCAGCTTCATTTCATAAGGTCCTCTGTAAAACAGTGTCAAACTGCTTCAAAAGCCAAATGTTCAAGTACAGCCACATTAAACATCACAAGGTGTTCAAATTCCAAAGTTAAGTAACTGGAAAAAAACTGGTTTCTGTGAGTGTATTGTAAAATTTCTTTGGAAGCTGGTTTCCCTATTATTATTAACGTGGAAAGGGTAGTGCATTCTTAGGCCCAAATCTCAACTTGAAGCTACTACAAACATCATTAGGTATGAAAATGAACTTCATGAGTGGAGTGTTTCTGCCAAAGACATTTGTGATACTCCAAGAAAAGAACAGGTTTTGGGTGAAAAACTACAAGCTTATCAAGGAAAGGTCAGCTTCATTTCAAAATGACCTTTGTAAAACAGTGTCAAACAGCTTCTAAAACCAAATGTTCAAGTAGAGCAACACTGAACATCACAAGGTATTCAAGTTCAAAAGTGAAGTAAGTGGAATAACCTGGTTTCTGTGAGTGTGGGGTACAATTTCGTTTGAAGCGGGTTTTCTTAGTATTTCCTTGCTTGGAAAGTGATGTTTATTCTTAGATACAAAGATATGTTGCAGCTTCAGCAAACATCTTTAGGTCTGAAAATCAGCTCCATGTATGGAGTCTTCCTGTCAAATATCTTTTTGATACTCCAAAGAAAAGTACAGGTTTAGGCTGAAAAACTACAAGCTTATGTGGGAAAAGTCAGGTTCATTTCAAAACGTCCTTTGTATAACACTCTCAAACTGCTTCTAAAATGAATTTTCAGTAGAGCGACACTGAACAACACAAGGTGTTCAACTTCCAAAGTTCAGTAAGTGGAATAAACTGGTTTCTTTGAGTGTATTGTAAAATGTCGTGGGACGCAGGTTTCCCTATGATTATTTCCCTTTGAAAGTATATTGCATTCTTAGGCCCAAACATCTCCAGGGCCACGATGGGGAGAGGCACATATTTGAACATAAGAAGTTGGTCAGAGGGGGCTATTAAGCATAGAAAATACTTTAGCTTGAAAAATTCTAAAAAGCACAAATTAAAAAAAATAAAGAGTGGACTCAACTACCGGGACAGAGGCAGAGAGAAACAAAGACTGATACAGTGACAGAGGGCCTGGAAGACGTCTTCCTTCCCCGCGTTTTCTGCGTTGCACACGAAGGATAATAACTTGGAAATCTTGATTTCTATTTTCCCAAAAGGACTATTTTGCAGAATCCATCAGGCTGTGGCTTCAAGAAAGCCTGTATCCTTAGCTTCCCCAGGGTTGAGACGGGGAGGGGGAGTATTTTCTAAGAAATAAGGTCGTAGCAGGAGCCAGAAAATGCTTTACATTATGAGATTCAGAAAAGCAAACATTAAAGAAATAAGAGATGTGACCAGGATTGGGACCGAGGTAGAGAGATACAAAGACATGTACAGGCAAAGTAGGCCTGGAAGGTGGCTTCCTAAGAAACAAGTTGTGCGTGCTAGAGGCTGGATGATCAGTAAGAAATCCTGATTTCTGTTTTCCCAAAACGGCAATTTTGCTGAATCCATGAGGCCGTGTCTTCAAGAAAGCGTTTCTGTAACTTTTCCTTGGTTGAAATAGAGAGAGGGTGTTATTTTAACAAAATAAGGTGGTAAGAAGGGACACAAAGTGCAGAAAAAGCTTTACTTAAAAAACTGTCCAATGCAAAAATTGGAAAAAAAAAATAAATAAAGGGAGAGAAGACCAAAACCGAGATAGAGGTAGGGTTTGACAAACACAGGAACAGAGACAGGAAGCCTGGAAGGAGTCTTCCTAACATGCGAGTTTTCTGCTCTGATGGCCCGAGATCAGTAGGAAGTCTTGATTTCTGTTTTCCCCAAATGGCTCTTTTGCAAAATCCATGAGGCTGTGTCCTCAAGAAAGTCTATTCCCTTTGCCTTTCCTGAGTTGGAAAGGGGAGAGGGAGTTATTATAACAAAATTTGGTGGTACGAGTTGCCAGAATGCACAGAAAATGCTTTACCTTAACAAATTCTACACCATGTAAATCAAGAAAAAAGAGAGGAAACAGAGACAGAGATAGAAGTAGAGAGAGACAAAGACAGGTAGAGACACACAAGGCCTGGAAGGGCTGTTCCTTGACCGCGAGTTATGGGTGCTGCAGGCTGGATTATCAGTGACAAGTCTTGATTACTGTTTTCCCAAAATGGCAATTTTGCTGCATCAATGAGTGTGCGTCTTCAAGAAATCCTGTTCCTTTTGGCTCTCCTGAGTTGGGAGAGAGAGAGCCAATGATTTAATCAAATAAATTAGGAGGGGACAGACAGCTCAGAAAGGCTTTATTTTAAAGCATTCTAAAAGCCAAAAATAAAAAAAAAAAGTGGAGACAGAGAACGATTCAGAAGAATAGTGAGACCCAGAATGAAAGAGAGACAGGAGACCCGGAAGTGGTCTTCCTACTACCGGAATTTTTGGTGTTGTAGGCCGTATTATCAGAGGAAGTGTTGATTTCTCTTTTCCACAAATGGCTACTTTGCAGAATCCCTCAGGCTGCGTCTTCAAGAAAGATTGTTCCCTTTACATCTCCTACGGTGCTAGGGGAAGAGGCACGTATTTGAACAAAAGAATTTTTAAAGCTTGATGAAAGAGATGAGTTTTGTTTTCCATCTCCATCTATCCTCTTAGATAGCTCAAGGATTTCTTCCCTCTCATTCAGCATTTAACGTCAGTTATAAGCTTTGCCACCTGAACTCCTTAGGCATCTGTGGAAGGAACTCAGGGATTCAAGAACCGAACTTATGAACCAAATTATGTGTATGTGTGCACTTTTCTCTGGAAAAAAAAAATCCATAGACTACACTGAGTTTTTAGAAGGTTTGGCTCAAATAACAAAATCCAAATCGGTATTGTTTCTCCTTTCTCTGTCTTGAAATGTATTTGTGTCAAATATCAAGGCCGTATATTTTCTACCTAGATATATTATTTTTGATTAGTGATTGCATTTGCCTTCCAAAGAAGTTATTTTGACGATAAAGACTTAATCTCCCCTGAAAAAAAAATTATCCAATAGTAAGAATTTCACCAACCAAAATCTTAACCTAGAGAGCCTTAAAATTCCCTTCAAATCACACCAGTAGGTGGCCTCAGATTCCACCGATGTAGCTTCTCCCTCGCAGGGATCAAGAGGACCAGCGGTCCTTAGCTATAAAATTAGCTGCACCTTCTGTCTGTTATATCCTTACAGATAATTACTGAACATATTTTGAGTATGCATAGAACATTTTGTCACATGCTGATTAGAATTTAACCTTAGGTATTCCAGTTTACTTCCAAATGTCCCTTTTTCTGAATTTTAACTATAGTCTGTTGTTAAGTTTATTTGTGAGAGAGAAACTAGAGACCTCAATAGAGGCCTTTCCCCAACCTTCCCAGCCAGCCAGCGTCACTGGTACGCCTGACCTGCCCTGCATGCTTGTCAATCGGGGCTCCAGACTCTGATCTTATGGTCTCCAGCATCATAGAGCTTCACGCTATCGCTGTTCAACCACATCTGGGCTTGTACTCAGTTGTAAAGTGTTTTAGAATCAGCTGTCATTTGTTTAAGTTCTGTGTTTTTTTTTTTTATTTATTTATTTTTTTTGAGAGGTTTTTTCGCTATAGGGCGCGTGCGCTCGCCAGACAGACAGAGAGAGAGAGACATAGAGACAGAAAGCGAGAAATCACCCCCCAGGGGGGATGGTCACGCCGCAATCCCTTCTCCTCCATTCTCCTCTCGGGATCTAGGGCACGTACGCACACGCGCCCGGCGTGAGTTTTAAGCCACCGGGTCCGGGATGCGAACCGCGGTCGACTACGTGGGAGTCCAGCGACATAGCCATTACGCTAACTGCTGGTTCCCTAAGTTCTGTGTTTTGAGAGTGCATTGTTTTTTAGTGAGAAACAGATAGGGCTTATTAACTGTTGATGATGACATGTATAGTATTCTCAACTGGATTGGTCTGAGAAGTATTTCATGATGGGCAAAGTATTTTTACAAGCAAAATGAAAAATAGCAATTGACTGTTTTAAAAAATAATTAGAATAATAAAAATAATGATTGGGGAAAACATAGGAAAGATATTGAATGTTGAAGTGGGGAGATTAATGTCTCTGTACTGACGGACATGCATGGCATTCCCCTTTGAAAAAACAATGTAATACACTGTAAAGTTATATGTAATCCAATGTAATATAAAGAAGATTATGATGATGATAATAAAAAAATTAAAAAAATTTTAAAAATTTTTAAAAAAGAGTGCATTGTTTTGAGACTCAGCTGTAATAAATGCTTAGGGTTGAATTTCTTTCCTTCCTCTGTTATTTTCTTTCTTATTTCCTTTCACTTTGTCTTTCTGATTCCATCCTGCAGCCACCTGAGGCCTTCCATGTTACAACAACTCCTACGACGTCTCGTTTTTGATGTGCCACAACTCAATGAATACTGCAAGATGCCTCTTAAGGTAAACATCACTGTGTTACAGGGATATCGTCCATGGCACAGACTTGCCTTGTATAATGTGATGTCTTCATGTTCTGGGGAGCAAAACACTCCCCAGACTGTTTTGTTCCACTGATAGTCCGCTAACAAGACACGGCCCTCAAAATCAAACCCCCTCCTGAATGTCCAGGTGGAAGAGAAGATTTGCTAGGGTCACTAACTGCTTCAATTTTCCTTAATTGCGTTGCAATGACTACTTGTTATTTATCAGAGGTTAGTAATGGGACTTGGCTTTTGTGCTTTTCTTCTCTAATTAGGTTTTCAGAATGTTTTCAATCTCAAAAAGTTTTGAAAGCCCTGTGACGTTTTATTTAAAGGGGCTAAAATGTCCCTTTCTATTCTTTACCATTTGTGCTGGGGTTTTTGTTTGTTTGTTTTTGTAACCTGTTTTTCTTTGTTTTCTACTTTTTTCCTCTTTCTTGATTAATTAAAAGGCTACACAACCCACTGTTTTTTGTCTCATTCCTGATATTCTCATAAATGTTAATATCTTAGCACGAGTACTGCATGCATCTGGGCCCAACGTGGAGGGCCCCAGAATCAGAACGCTGCCCACAAGTGCAGTGTTTCTCTCTTTACGGTGGAGGCACCTGCGTATGAAAAGTGTCGTCAATGACCAGCCATACCTGGAAATTCTGCCTGGTGATTTTAACAAAACCGTTCCTCCTTTTCAGAAATAGGCCAAGCAAGGATTTCAAGAAGCGTTTTACTGGGATAACGAGAATTCCCAGAAGCCTTTAGTTCAATCCCGTCTCCATAGCAGAAAACAGCTTGTATGTTCTCAGAGAGTTTACCCCTGCAAGAGTTAATTCTTCTCTCTAAGCCTAACAGCCCCAGTTTTAAACTAGAGAAGTACTGTAGCCGAAAACGAGTTTGTGCAGCTGATATGGGCACTGCTGCGTCTGCAGGCATCTGCTCTCAGCTGGGTGCTGGCTCCAAAAAGGCATACCACTCAGGGAGCTCACTTTCCCCGCTTACTATCAGAGAGATTTTTATTTGAGGATGCGAATCCCACCTGCTGGGACGGAACTTTAGCAGTGTGCTGCTGCCCTCTGTTGGCCAGATGTGGAACTGCTGTAACATCACCGAGGAGTGTAGCTTGACAAAGGCAAGGCAGACATGGGTTATACTCAACCTAGAGAAACTCTTCAGAGCCACGGCTGGATGCTCACCATCCCTTCCCTGTTTTAGCATCTTCCTCAATTATATTCAGAGGTCTCAGAAAAAATGTATTTCACCCCTCACTGGCTAGAATAGCGTAGTAGTTTCTCCTCTGAAGTGGAAACCGTTCGTCTCTGTTTTCTAGTAACTGTGAAGGGCACATCCAGAGGCACAGAAATGATCAGGCAGACTCAGCTCAGGCCAGAGCTCATTAGGCACAAGAACAGACCATTCCTAGCACTACTTGAGGGCCCCTTTGCAGACAGTCCAAGTGTGTCAAATGTTGGCTTCATTTCCATGCTCTCTGCTTACTATTTTATTCTCTCTTGCTTGTTTGATGCCTGTGGATTTTCTCTACCCCATCCCACTGGTGCCATATGGTTCTGAACCTCCCAGCTTCTGACAAATCACTATGAACAGTGCTGGAAGTATTACTGTCTGCCTTCAGGATGGGGGAGCTACGGTCTGGCTGTGGAGGAAGAACTGCACCTAACAGAGAAGCTCTTCTGGGGGATTTTTGACTCCCTTTCCCATAAGGTAATGATGGTGCTTCTGAGCAAAGCGCAGGACCTCAATAACCCAGGCACCTGTGAACAATAATGGCTAACATCTGTCTGCTAATAACTGTGCCAGGTACTTTACAAGTCTTCACTTTACAGGGAAAGAAAAGTCTCAGAGCAGTTGAGTAACTTAACAGATAATACAAACATAGTACACGGGAAAGTGATTATAACAGGAGATTCAATATATATATATATATATATTTCCCAGTTTCTTTCTTGATGAGTTCTCTCCCCATGCCTTCCCCTGACCTGGTAGGGCTCCTGCTAGCCAGCTTTCAGTAGGCTAAGCCAAGAGGAAAAGTCCTAACATCTGCTTTGATGGGACACATGACTTACAGAAGACTTTGAGCCATTTGGAGGAAGGGTCTGCACTTCACAGTCACTTGAAGGAGGTCCAGTGAGAACTCAGAGCCTCCGAATCCCAAGCCTTATTGAACAGTCCAAAATAGCGCTCCAACTCCCACTTCGCTCCACTTGCCATAACCCAGGTTTTACATTTGTGAGGTCACCAGTTTTAAAGGTAGAAAATTAGTAGCTCTTAGAGAAATTAGTGGGTTCGTAGAGAAATCTGGAGCATATGTTTAGCCTATTCACTACACTTAATTTTTCTTTACCCCAGATTTTTTTGGTGTAGAGTAAGCAAGTCAGAAACTATTCCTAACTCCATGATAGCTGACCAAGTTCACTTCTGGTGAGGTTAAGAGAGAACAAATGTGATACCGAGCAGTCTACAGGTTGTCTCAGCATAGGACCCATATCAACTACTATGGAGCTTGGCAAGGCTCTCTCCAGTCACAAACTGGGTTGATTTCTAGAACCTTCCTTGAAAGAAAGTTTATAGGCCTTTCTGGCTGGCGGGGAGGGGGAAACTTAGATACTCTTGAAAGTAACTATTTGGGAGCCTTGACTTGAACCTGGACTTCAGGTTTTTCACAAATGGTGACTTGAGGGTTTTACAGCTTGTCATTTCATCCTCCAAGGATACCTCACTTCCCACTGGAGAGCATTAAAGAGGTTACACATGCCTCCTTTTGGTTAACCTGGACAAATGCACATACTGTATTTTTATTTTCAGCTGACTGGCGAATCGTTGTCTGGCAGCCATGGTTCACATGTCCCCATTAATGTGTCTTTGCTCTCCCACACAGAAATATGACCCAGATCTTTTCCGAATGGCCTTGCCTTGTCTCAGTGCTATCGCTGGGGCCTTGCCACCAGATTACTTGGACACCAGAATCTCAGCCACGTTGGAGAAACAGGTCTCAGTGGATGCAGATGGCAATTTTGACCCCAAACCTATCAACACCATGAAGTGAGTCCAGAATCTTCTCTAAGCTGATGCTGTGCTTTGTCCAGTAGCTACCGTTTTCCTTTTAGAAGGTAGTAAGAAATGTAAACTTCTCCTATTCCCCTCCTGCCAGCGCTATCTATCCTTTCCCCTGACACTCAAGGCACATTAAGCACAAGGTTTAATCCATCCATAGCTGATTATAGACCGCATTATATTCTGGGCATTTGAGGAGGGTAGAGTTGGTTTATTTATTATAAGAGATGGATACTCCCGTAAATAGATGTCACCCGAGGCATTGAGAGAACCACCCTGACAAATGATGCAATTAATTTATTAATGAGTTTTTTTGACAGTGTTCGCTTTTTGTGAATTAGGCCTGTACAGTTCTAATAGCATCGTACATCACAACAACTGCATAACCAACACTCAGCTGAGCTCTAGCGAGGCTGTGGGTATGATGGCAGAGCACCTTGGATGCATTTTTGCAAAACAGAGACCTCTTTGTCATGCCAAGGGGTGCTGGGACTTTAGGGTAACCCTATAAGAGACCTTTTAATTTTTCCTTGCAACTCTCCAGAATCTCTCACTGGGGTTGGTTAGGCCATGGAGGTATGTTTATCTCTTGGGCAAAACATTGCTCATTTTTGGTTCACAGCAATTCTGCCCCAGTTATGATGGTGGGTCATAAGGTACACAGTCTTCATCTCTAGGTACATTTTATTTTTATTTTTATTTTTAAGTTGCCAGAGGGCACATGTTCTTGTCACAGAAGGGGGGGAGAGGGAGACAGCACTCCCCAGTGGTGTGGCCATGCTACGATTCCTTTTTCTCCATCTCTCCATCCCATTGGAACCTCGGATACATGCACACATATACCTGGTGTGCTCCTCAAGCATCTGGAGCTGGAATTTAAGCCCTAGTCAGCCATGTGGGATCTTGCTTCCCCTAACCACCAGGCTATGGGGCCGGCCCTACAAGTGCATTTAAACAAAGATGGAGAGCACCAAAGTTGCTTCAGAGCAAGCAAGAAAAATAAGACTGATCTTGTATGAGTTCCTTAGACTTGTGATTAGTGGCCATTGTTCTTAAAGCAGAGCCTGAAGCCTTCCCAGGGAGCTGTCAGCTTTAATAACATATGAAACGTATTTTTGGAATAATTAAGTACAGGTACTTTAGAACTTTGAGCTAAGAGGATGGTGGGAAACACATTGGACCTGCTCTGTGGAAGAGGTTAAGGGGTATGGTGCCAAAGAGAAGGTAGGTGTTGACATTAGAGAAGGTTGCCCTTAAAAATGTAAGTGGAAGGCTATTGGATAGAAGACACGGGGAGTAATGGCTCAGATGCCTTTGTAAACATGTAAGACATCATCATACCCTAGCAAGTATGTGTTAGTGATGAGTGATTCAACATTATTTTGAGTTCTGATTTCTTCAGATAGACTTTATTATTTATTTATTTTGGAGAGGTTTTTGCTATAGGGTGTGTGTGTTCACCAGAAAGACAGAGAGAGAAACAGAAAGCAAGAAATCACCCCCAGGGGGGATGGCCACGCCGCAGTCCCTTCTCCTCCATTCTCCTCTCTGGATTTTGGGCACGCACGCACACGAGCTCAGTGTGAGTTTAAGCCACCGGGTCCGGAACTCAACCTCAGTCGACTACATGGGAGTCCAGCAACATAGCCATTACACTAACTGCTGGTCCCCATCCACAGATAGACTTCTGGCATCAGCATGGTTCTCTGAGTAATATAAGGAATGGACACTAACTCTGGCTAATTTAAAGAGAAAAGCACATTATTACAAATTAAAATTAAAAACACATTATTATCGAAGGCTGGAGAAAGATTGACTGAGCAGGTCTCAGCAAAGACAGGTGCCAGGAAAGGCCTGGCCTCAAAGCATGGTGACCAAATGGATACTCCTCGGTGTCCCCGCTGAGTGAATCACCTTGAAGAGTGTGCCGCCCTCCTCTCTCTCTACTCAAGATACTCTCTCCCGCTCCTGGGACAGTGAGTCTGATTTCCTGAGTCATATACTCATCCTTGGTGCCACTTCACATTATACACATGCAGTCCTGGAAGACTCCACGATGCGAAGGGAGATGGAGGCACCATTACCCACAGAAGGGACAGGAGCTGCTGAGCAGACAGAAATGACAGGTGGCTATTGTACTCAAATTCTAGTATTTAGCCAAGAGCCACTGAGCCCAAAAAGGTGGACAACTACTATTCTGCCATGTGCCTGTTTCTCTCATTCCCCAGCTGAAAGCTGTAGGGTAAGAGGTCAGTTTCTCTGAGTGATGTCCAGCCTGGACAGGGCTGGCCCAGAAGCCCAAGTGCAGGCGAGCCCAGAGCAGCTGGAGGGGGGCCACCTGTGCAGCAGAGGCCTCTGCAGAGACATCTGCGATTTAAGTTGGGAGTGTGTCTGTGACCGCACCCTGGTTATGCTGCTGCTCCTGCTCAGTGATACGGCTGCATCTACAGCAGCCTCAGCTTCAGCATAACCTGGTCCACTGAATCTAACTTCTGACCCCATCTTCTACTATATCCGGCTGCAGTGCTCAGGGAGGTTGTAATTTTTTTTTCCTCGTTTCAGTTTTTCCTTGCCTGAAAAATTGGAATACATCGTCACCAAGTATGCTGAGCATTCACATGATAAATGGGCCTGTGACAAGGTAGGGATTATCATCCAACTGACAATTGTCAGGAGGAAAAAACAGCCCAAGAACATTAACGGGGCCAATCCTGGAAATCTGCCTGATTTGTCTAAGTGACAGACTCACCATGCCAAGAGCATTCATTATTTCTGAGCAGCAGTTTTCCAGGATTGTTGGAGGTCGGAGAAATAGGCGGTGGCAGCTGCTGGTGCTGCTTTTGTATTTCTCAAGAAGATGATCGATTTAGGAAGTGTCAGCCCCTTTCTTAACATTGCGTTTCCTGGACTTTGTGCCCAAACACATGCTTGTGTGTATTTGATGTAACCATTTCAGGAGGGTGGGGAAACTTTAATTGTTTTCCTTGAATACTACATTGGAAAAGAGAAATTGAAAGCCTTGCCCTTGTATTTTGCTAGGGAGCTGAATTTTATTCTAAGGAGGATACACAGTCATCTTCCTGTGGTAGGCAGCACTAGAGCTGCAGACACTCCCTTATTAATAACGTGTCCATCTGGTGTTTAAAATTCCTCACCACATGAGGTCAGGCTGCTTAATAAGTTTAATTGTTCTGTCAGCCCTTTAATGCTGGCCGGCAACGTGGGAAGACTGTGCCAAAGACATCCGGGATTCCCCGTGGGTAGCCAGTTAAGGATAGGGGGCCTTTGCTCAGCTGCAGCTCACAGCTTCTAACAGCAGACCCATCTTCACAGTGCAGCCACAGAAAACCACCTCCATACAATACACCTTCAGATAGGCGACATTGGAAGCATCAGTGTAGCCCCTGTATTGATCTTAGCCTTTCCTGAGTCCCTCTTCAGAGCTGATGGTGACAGCACCTATGGTCACTGTAGAATGGGCTGATACGTCCTGATCCCTAGAGCAGGGCTTGGCAGGCCTTTTACTGTAAAGGACCAAATAGTAAATATTCGAGGCCTCGTGGGCCAGTCCCCAGCACAACTACTTGTCTCTGCTGTAAGCACAAAAGCAGTCTAGACAACATGGAAACAAAGAGGGTACCTATGTTCTGATACAACATCATTCATTTAACAAACAAAAAGTGGCCAGATCTATTGGGCCCAACAGCCATAGTTTCCCTGCACTCACTCTAGAGCATCTGTGTAGCCAAAGCACTCTCTCCCTGTGGCCATCGGCCTGCCCATGAGTGGGGAGGAGAGGTGCCACTGCGAGCCCAGCCCAGCAGCCAAGCCAGCCCCAAACCATGTGGTGTTTACCTCCCGCGTCTCTCCCAAGTTTGTATGGCTCTCTCTCTCTCTGGGCTATGGCTTTAGTCCTAACCAGTCTGCCCAGAGCATTTTCTCCGGTCTGTTCTTCATGGCAAGCAACAGTTTCAATATGCAGATTTGGTCCTGTTCTACCACTGTGCCTTCTACATGGCGTTTTCTCTTGATGAAAATTCTTTTGTAGCTTCTAGGTTCAAAATCTTAATATGACCAGGTAGTTACTACCCAGTCTGACCTCTGCTACTGTCTCTGGCCTCCTCTCTCCCTGCACCCCTGTCCTCCAGCCATGTCCCCTTCTTTCATTCTCTCTCTCTCTCTCACACACACACACACATTTATACACTCACACACACACTCACACACACACACACTCACACACTTTGTGTGCCTGAATGCTGCCTCTGTCTGAGCCACTTACCTGTCTGTACCTACACAGGCACACGCCAGTCACCAACTCATCCTATAAATATTTATCCAAATGTGAATTCCCAGGGTGGTGTTTCCCCAGCCTTTGCAGATATAGGCCCCCTTATTCTCCCTTTATATTATATTCAGCGCAGTTTCTTAGCGTTGTATTCATAACAGTTACACATTCATACACTTATCCCACTTACCAAGTGTACACTTACTCGTGGTTATTTGATTAGTCTCTCTGCCACTAGACTGTAAGCTTCCTGAGAGCAACGATGTGTGTTTGCCCACCATCGCCAGCTGGGCACTGATTAGGAAGAAAAAGCATCTTTTATCTCCCTGAAAGAACCTCACCATCTGTGGAAGATACAAAGTAGGGGGCCAGTGCTGTGGTGGGAATTTCCCACCACATCCATTCACTATCCACTGTTCCATTCATTCAGAGAAACTAAGGGCACAGGTCTGGGTCACATAGCAAGGCTCTTTGAGCACCAACAATATTTGAACTAAGAACATTTCTACAGAAAGAGAACATTTAATTACTCTCTAAACCTGTCCTGGGCCCCAGGAGTGCTTCTAGAGCTGTTGACATCTACAGCACATGCTAAAGGATGGGTGGAAGTCGTTTGTCCTAGGGAAGCCAGTGCTTTGCAGGTGCTAACCCAGAGAGGTGAGAGTTTGGTGGCTTTAGGAAACCATCGTTCTGTATAGCTGGAACATGGACTCGGGCAGGGAAAGGGCCAACGGAGAGTCTGGAGGGGTCAGCAAGGTCTTGTCTATTAGGTTAGAGATCATGTAACAAAGTTAGGGTTTACTGTGATGGCTACTGACAGCCAGAAAACGTTAAAGAAATAGAGTACTCTGAGTGATTTTGAGAATATCGCCTGACAGTACAGAAAATGAGTCCGTGTTCAGAGGGCAAAGCCAGAACTGAAGAGACCATTAAAGACCACTATTACAGTAATCCTGGCCAGAGCAGATGGCGGCCTGAGCAGTTTAGCCCGGGAAGCTGTAGAGAAACTAGCAAATGTGTTGGTCTGGGAGGCAGAGCAGCTGTGAGAAGGTGCAGGGAAGCGGTGTCAGGGACTCTCCCCATGTCGCTGTCTGAAAAAGCAAGCATAAGCTGGGGGCATGTACTGAGACCTGGGAAGCTACGAGGAAGAGACATGTGGAGAGGTAAACTGCCAGGCTCTATTGATAAGCTGGGGGCATGTACTGAGACCTGGGAACCTACGAGGAAGAGACATGTGGAGGCTCTATTTCAGACATGTCAAGAGGTACCTATGGAACGTCCAAACAGAGCTTAGGTAGGACTGGAAGGTAGAAGGAAGCTCTGGGCTGGAAATACTGACTTGACATTGGTCCTTTATCTCTGATAACTAAGACCATGGACCTATGGATCACCTGGACCCCTTATTCTCCCTTTATATTATATTCAGCGCAGTTTCTTAGCGTTGTATTCATAACAGTTACACATTCATACACTTATCCCACTTACCAAGTGTACACTTACTCGTGGTTATTTGATTAGTCTCTCTGCCACTAGACTGTAAGCTTCCTGAGAGCAACGATGTGTGTTTGCCCACCATCGCCAGCTGGGCACTGATTAGGAAGAAAAAGCATCTTTTATCTCCCTGAAAGAACCTCACCATCTGTGGAAGATACAAAGTAGGGGGCCAGTGCTGTGGTGGGAATTTCCCACCACATCCATTCACTATCCACTGTTCCATTCATTCAGAGAAACTAAGGGCACAGGTCTGGGTCACATAGCAAGGCTCTTTGAGCACCAACAATATTTGAACTAAGAACATTTCTACAGAAAGAGAACATTTAATTACTCTCTAAACCTGTCCTGGGCCCCAGGAGTGCTTCTAGAGCTGTTGACATCTACAGCACATGCTAAAGGATGGGTGGAAGTCGTTTGTCCTAGGGAAGCCAGTGCTTTGCAGGTGCTAACCCAGAGAGGTGAGAGTTTGGTGGCTTTAGGAAACCATCGTTCTGTATAGCTGGAACATGGACTCGGGCAGGGAAAGGGCCAACGGAGAGTCTGGAGGGGTCAGCAAGGTCTTGTCTATTAGGTTAGAGATCATGTAACAAAGTTAGGGTTTACTGTGATGGCTACTGACAGCCAGAAAACGTTAAAGAAATAGAGTACTCTGAGTGATTTTGAGAATATCGCCTGACAGTACAGAAAATGAGTCCGTGTTCAGAGGGCAAAGCCAGAACTGAAGAGACCATTAAAGACCACTATTACAGTAATCCTGGCCAGAGCAGATGGCGGCCTGAGCAGTTTAGCCCGGGAAGCTGTAGAGAAACTAGCAAATGTGTTGGTCTGGGAGGCAGAGCAGCTGTGAGAAGGTGCAGGGAAGCGGTGTCAGGGACTCTCCCCATGTCGCTGTCTTAAAAAGCAAGCATAAGCTGGGGGCATGTACTGAGACCTGGGAACCTACGAGGAAGAGACATGTGGAGGCTCTATTTCAGACATGTCAAGAGGTACCTATGGAACGTCCAAACAGAGCTTAGGTAGGACTGGAAGTTAGAAGGAAGCTCTGGGCTGGAAATACTGACTTGACATTGGTCCTTTATCTCTGATAACTAAGACCATGGACCTATGGATCACCTGGAGGGGTGTGTCTCTGAGAAGAGACAGAAACTTAGGAAAAAGACACATTTAATGTAAGGTTTGGGAGATCAGGAACTGCTCTCTCTGTATCCCCAGAGAGAGCAGAGGGACAGGGCCTGGCGTACTGCAGAAGACATTCGACCAACACGTATCCAGTGACCTTTACAGGCCTTACACTTCTGTGACTCTAGGAAGCATACGGCACTCCAGTTTTGCCCTGGGGCTGGCAGACAAGGGGTACAAACCCACCAGCTTCCTCTATGCACTGGGCAGTCCTGTCCTCACATGCTTTTCAGCCCTGACCCTTAGTCTTCCTCTAAGTGCGATACCCTGACATGAGGAGTGTCATTCTCAGGGTCTTTAGAAAACTCTTCTGTTTCAAATGGGCCTGAAACACAAGTGAGAAAGTAGAAAGGACAGCAGCCAAAACAAGAAGGAATGAAGGAGCAGAGTTCACAAGTTAGAAGGCAGAGGGCCTGACAGCTTTAGAGGCTCCATTAGACATTTTTGAGGTAATTTCCAAGCTCTGTCACTATCCATTATTCCATGCATTCAGAGAAAATAGAAGCAGGGATCTGGGTCACATAGCAAGGCTCTTTGAGTACCGACAATATTTGAACTAAGGACATTTCTGCAGAGTCAGAGTGGATGGAAATATGGGATTTCTCTGGATGAAAATGTGAAGACCCATCCACTGATAAGACCTTTCAAGACATTGACGGAGAAGGTAAGGAATTGGCCTTCGTTATGCTCGGTGTGGCTATGCTGTTTCCTTCCTTGGGAATGGTATCCCACAGTCAGAGAAGTTCAGGACACATCACTCCCAAGTCCTTAGAGACTTTCTAAGACGCTGCACACGGCTCAGGAGTTGCAGTGGTCAACAGACACAAGATCCGTATCCAAGAGCCCAAGAGCCCAGCCTCACGCTCTCCCCTGGCTTGGAGAGTTCACTGGTGATAGAAACACTGTTCTGCTTTATAGGCTAGACCAAAATGCATTTGCATTTCTGCAACTGATCTAGAAAGAATTCTGTTAGATTGTTGAGGTACAGTGAGAAGAAAGCAGTGAATTGCTGGAGAAAGTTCACGCAGAAATGATTTATACATGGAAGATACCTGGAGTGCAGAAAGAGTCCTCAAGGACTGATCAACTGGTTTCTTGCCCCTCCCCCTTAAAAAAAAAAGGTTAAAAAATTTGCTTAAAATGAATTCTGAATACCTGTCTTAAGTCAGTAAGATTTCTTTGTAAGCTATAGGCTTAGTGTCATACGTAAAAAATAGCACACATATCTTTGAATGTATATTGACCACCTATGAAACATGCATAGATCAAAAGAAATCTCTAAGAATTCTGTTTCCCAAGCATACAGGAGAGCTGTGTGCAGATGCATTTTGACAGTAACCCATCTTAAACAGCTGCTAGAACTGTAGCAGTAACTTTCCTGTTCCACTTTATGCACAAAACGTGAATAATGTCATCAATGATGTCTGGTACACTCCTTCTGAAGGCAGGAGACTTTAGAAAGACTGAAATGATACAATGAGTATCTGGACCTCGTTAAAGGAGACTAGAGCTCATGTTCACCCCAGCTGAGGTGGGATCCAGCTTCCATGGGGAGATGGGCTGGCTTACCAGTGCTGGGGTATCTTCTATAAAGTTCTTCTCAAATTTTCTTCCAGGAGAAAGAAATTTATCGCTGGCCTGCCAGAGAATCCCTGAAAACCATGCTGGCTGTGGGCTGGACTGTAGAAAGGACCAAAGAGGGAGAAGCTTTGGTTCAACAGCGGGAAAATGAAAAGCTTCGGAGCTTGTCCCAAGCCAGCCAGGTATGACAGCCACACCCCACACGCAGCCACGACACTGGGCAGGTAGCGCCCACGGAGAATCTGGGAAGCTCTTCTAGAGGCCTATTCTTTGCATTGTTAACAGAAAAAAACTGAGACTGGGGGATTCACCAAAAAAATAGAGGTTATTTTATAAAATTCACAATTCTGGTGGCCTGGAAGTCAAGAGGCATCACAAAGTGGTGGAAGGCAGAGCAGTGTGGGCTCATCTATGGAGCCGCCTTCTCTCTCGTTCTGGTTTCATTCCCTATGCTTATAAACTCCACCAGAACTTAGTCATGGAGGTCCTGCCCTAATGACAAGTCATACCCACAAAGCCCCACTCTGGGACACTATGAAGGAATTGAGTTTTCACTTAACACCGTTTTTCTTTCTTTAATTTTCTTCTTTTTCGTCTTCCTCCTCCTCGCTTCTTCCTCCCCCTCCCTTCCTCTTCCTCCTTCCTTCCTCCTCCCTTCTTCCTCCTCTTTTCCTCCTCCTTCCTTTCTTCCTCTTCTTCTTTTTCCTCCTTCCTTCTTCCTCTTCCTTCCTTCCTCCTCTTTCTCCTCCCTTCCTCCTCCTTCTTTCCTCCTCTTCCCTTCCTCCTCCTCCCTTCTTCCTCCTCCTCCCTCTTCCTCCTCCTCCCTTCTTCCTCCTCTTTCCTTCTTCCTCCTCCTCCACCCTCCCTCCTCCTCCCTTCTTCCTCCTCTTCCTCCCTTCTTCCTCCTCCTCCCTTCTTCTCCTTCACATTCAATCACTGTATCTCTTACAGCATACAAAATGAATGTTCCCAACATGAATTCACTGCATATTAATTCATTCAAAGATATTACTACGTACATTACCATCAATGGATAGTTTTCCATTTTTGTGTCTGTTAAATACTCTGCTTTTTATCCCTCGATTCCATCTTTCCCACCCCATCTCCCACCCTCCTCCCACAGTGTCTCTAGTTTTCACAGCTGCTCTTTGCTTTTATATCTTCTAATTTTTCAGTTTCTGCTATTTGGTATATATTAAATGGAGACGTACAATGCCTCTCTTTCCTAGTCTGGCTTGCTTCACTAATCATACCAGGTTAGTGCAGACACTTTCAGGACAGCATAACTGTCTTCCACATTCCCTAAAGTGCAGAACATACTACCCTCCAGAGAGTTAAAGAGAAAGAATGCCCAGAACATGTCACCACCAAGACACCGACACTAAGGAGGACCTCATTGTACAGAGGCCACAGGGATAGTCTCAGCAGAATCAATGAATCATCCAAGAATGGAAGACTTTGCACTTCTTCCAAGGATGTCATAATGAGTGTTGATGCAATAAAATGGAAAACAACCAGCAAATTACTGTATCAAAACTCCCAAATAAAACAGCTAGGAGAGAATCTGTGAAACTTGGCTCCTGGGTGTAGATGCTCGGCTGGTCCTGTAAGTCCCCCAGAACATAAGGGTAGCTTGCATATCCCATCATGGCTTACTTGAGTGCCCATGATGGTGCAAACAACCAACCAATGCAGGATACAGGGACCTAAAACCAAGGGGGTGAAACTAAAAAGCCCTAAGCTGCCTCCTCCTATCCCTCCTCTTC